TTGTATAATTTCTCTCTAAAAATTGTGCAGTACTGGCCAAACATAAATTAGGTAAACAAAACTATATAACGTATTAAATGAAACAATAATACAATCGTGTTTTCCTATAACGTGATAGTTACATTCCTGAAGAACACCGCACCGTTATGATACATGATATATAATACAGGATAAAGCACAATCCGCGATAACACACGAGATGCGTACGCAGGCGGAACAAAGACTGTTGGCGCGTGGGTAGCATCTAGAACAGGGGTCGGCAACCTACGGCTCCGGAGCCGCATGCGGCTCTTTACGGGCTGCTTCTTGACGATATGTACGTGAGTACAGTATGTACTCAGATGCATTGCGGCTCTTGAAATACTGAATTTTGTACCGAATTGGAAAGAAATGGCTCTTCTTGTTATTTTGGTTGCAGACCCCTGATCTAGAAGCATCCAGCAGCATCCCGCCTTGTACGATGCTATCCCGAGGCAGCCATACAATTGCTTATTCCCACTCGCGCAACGTATTTGCATTCACTCAATCATGTCATATCCAATTCGCGTCATGAAAACACGCGTTATAGGACAGACTATAAAATTGACAGTACTGCCAAACCCATGGGGTCTTTTCTGTATTCCACTGAACAGGACATGGGATCTCGCAGTGTATGTATGGCTGTTGTCCATCCGCATCGGGCGGCCAAGTAACATTTCATTCGTGCTAGAGATCTGAAAAGGTGAAAATTATTCGGCATTTTCCTCATTTTAGACAAACTGTTTAAAAAGCAATGCCTTCTGAAAGCCAGTGGGTAGGCCCTTAATCACACAATTAGTTCACAAAAGGCTGTACATTATGATTATATTTTTCTTAAAGGAATGCCAATTCTTTAAAGCTGACAATGTGGTAAAAAAACAGCATAGCCGCTTCAGATGAGCGAATAGACTTTCATATTTATCCTTCATGCGCCACTTGTGCTGCGTATAGAATCACATTCTTGCAGTTACATAAACAGTGTATATATATATATATATACACATACACACACATTCATCGCGAAATGCCAGCTGGATGAAAAGAAATCACACATCTGCTTGGATCTAACATTGAAAGCATTTGTGTGAAGGCCAATAATCAAGTACTACACTGTGTATGGTTTAAAAATAAGCGCACCATTTTCGGGAGAAATGCACCGCACCTTGATTTGACACAAAACAGCGAAAGTTAAACGAGTCCTCCCAAGTGTTCACTAGCAGGATTTGTTCAAGAATGTCTGACCTCGTGGATTGTTTTGATGCTATTTAACCTTGCGAGCACACAGCACACTTACATTTCTGCCAGTCAAGTCACGTTCAACATTAACACTACAGTACCTGAAGGAAAACACAGTACAGTACACCTATGCTGAATGCAGCAACCCCTGTTGTTTAACTTGTTCGATTTGTGTGCTTTTATGTGGATACATTAGACATTACCATTTATGTATTTATTGCAATGCGAATGCGGATGCCACTCAGTATGCATATGAAAAGGTGACGTTTGTTTCCTGCGATCACTCGTCTAAATGTTTGTTACCTTTGGTGCAAAAAAAGTCAACTGCTGAGAACCTCAATGTAACCCGTTCATATTTACAGGTTGCCGAGGATCCCCACCCTCCTCTTCTACATATAATCTACGCCTCTACGATGACGATATGTAATCGACAGCAAACGTATTTCTCAACTTCGTAGAGCAAGCAAGAGGGAACTCTTTCGGCATGAAGTGTAATGTCCCGGCTTGTGTCAAGAGATCCTCAAAATCCTGCACGAGCAACACCACCTTTGCCCAGCCATGCACCAAAGGATGCTAGTCGCAAACCGAACCAAAAAGTTATCTAAAGGAGCTGAAATTACCACAAAAAGCGCACGTTGTTATTTTGTGACGAGGCCAAGACCAAGAAATTGGTCGGTACTTAAAAAAAAAATACGAGCTCCATTGCAGGTTCTAGGCCTGGATTTGAACCCAGGGTCACGGTTTTCTGGCATGGCATTGGTCACCTGAGCCAGCCAGCAATGTCCATTTGCTGTCATTTAATGCTAAAATATTAAACTGTCAAGAGATATTAGCAATCAAAACAATAATTTTCAGAGTAGTTGATTACATAAATAACCCGATGGCCCAAGTTTAATCGATGCGCAAGTTAATCAAATATTCTTAGGTTTTTTCGGTAAAGTCACGTAGGTAAAAAATTAAAATTAATAAAAGTAAAAAAAAAATCACAACGTTTTGGAGGCAACACAAGCCTCCGTCTTCAGGTGGAACCGTCACAGCACGACAGCTGTATCAAGAAACGTCGTGATTTTTAATTTATTTTTTATTTTACTTTTATTAATTTAAATTTTTTACCTATGTGACTTTACCGAAAAAAACCTAAGAATATGAATCCTTGCAGTCACGAAAGCTTCAAATCTAGAATTGGAACCAAATAACCAACTCGGGCTGGTTTAAAATCACAAAACTACTTGCGGACTCTCAACAGCCATCTTCGGAGCAGCCACAGCGCGCAGGCAAATGATAGCGATTCACTTGAATGTAACAGGTGACATCAAAACTTTGGGCGAGCATTGCCGAGCTCTGTTGGGATAAAAGCTATCCCCAAAAACAAGCTTTTTGAAATAAAAAGAAAAAAAGTAGACCTACCATGTAAAAATGTAGGAACTTCAGATGCCACTCGAACTGATAACTTAAACGTACGCGTAAAAACTCACTGGACTTTGAGTAGTGTGTGGCTGAAGCATTCGGCCAGCAATTGGAATGTTGCGAATTCAAATCCCAGTCTGGAGTCAACTCATCTTTATGAAGTCAATAGAATTCGTAACAAAATGGATTGGTGGAAAGGTAACAGTGGTTGGCTTATGGCCAATCTAAGCCCTTGCTATGGTAATGTTGACATGCCACTATCTCTTCTCTATTGCCCATTCTCTCCCTTCCCCTCCTTCCCATCCCTCCCCTATACTTTTGTGATACCCAAAAAAAACCCTCTTCTCTATCGCGGTCACTCATGCCTCAATCCTTGCAAGCCCCTGCCATCTGAAATCATTCGATTCTCACCGTTTTTTTTTTAAACCATGTCAAGCGCCTTCAGTGAAGGCCTTAAGTTAAGGCGCCCTCTAAATATAAAAACACACTAGTTTAGAGTAAGGGCTGTTGGTCAATGAAGAGAACAGCCCCTGGCTTGTTATTTTAATGTTGAGGCTTCAAGACGGTCGGTCACCACATCGCACACTTTCAGATGCGCTTCTGCGGCCGTCTTTTTGTGTTTAAATCATAAGCTTTGCTTTTTCTGAACATTTTAACACCTGTTTTATTGACAAAAAGGGTAAAGCCTATCCTCATTTTTTCATCATTTTGGATACTGGCAAAAGATCCCATATATTTGTGTTTTGTTTTTCTTCCCCCGGCACCTCCGATTAGTAAGGTTGGCTATATACGGTGCGAAAGAAAGTTCAACGCACATACAGGACATGGAAGCGTTAAGTTCGTCTGAAAATCTTGAGTATTTAATTAAATAATCGCTTCCCGAGTTCAAATGTGATATTTGGCAGAGCAACTGTTCCACGAGGATACATGAGAAAAACATGTCTCTCGAAAATAATTTCCAAGGGAGCCAATAAGTTTACTTATTGCTTTAATTATGAATGCCCGTCCATCCAGGAACCCTTCACATGTGTCCACACACAAAAAAAACAAAATCCTGAAACCAACTGCCAACAAAACTTGTATATCACACTGCCCAGTTGCCAAAATCTGTAGTTTTAGGAAATGTTATACTTTAAAATAGCCTAACTCTTTATTTCACCAGGTAAGGCCCAGAGCTATACAACTCTTTTTAAGAAGCGACCTGGCCACAAATCATCACCCAACAGTGGTTTATGACGTGGAAATTTATAGCAGCCAAATACTCTAAACGTCATGTTTCTAAATGGGAAGTCGGGCAAGAATTTACAAAGGATCCCATTGCTAAAGCACATATATATGAAGACAAAGATCTCTCCTATCGCCTTAACAGACAGGCGGGCAAGTGCTGTTAGCAGGCAGCACCTATGAAGGCCGGCACGGCACCACGAGGGCGTGGATGTTCAGCACCACGCCCGACCGCCTATTTTTCCCCAGTGGCAATATTTTCACACACCGCACCACGTACTCATTTGGAGGTCAACCTAGGGGAGGCTCAGGACCGGTTCAAATTAACCTCACTGGTCTTGACTCGGGTCGCCAGGTTCGTAGTGTGGCACGCTACCTTTATCTACATACACACACACACACACACTATACCGTGAGGTGCTGCAGTGGTTAGTGAAATATGCTATGAACTTCTCAGCCACAACTAAACTAGAATGGCAAGTGATATCCGAAACAGTTCTGTTGCCCCCCCCCAACTCCTCACCAACCCATATTGACCAGCATGAAGCATGGCAAAATAACCCCGGTGCTAGACATGGCTTTAAGAGATCCTCAGCCAATGGTCAACCGACTGTAAACGTTAATAACCATTTGATAGAAATCAGATTTTATTATTTTGAGAAAAAACAATTACCACAGATGACAAAATCTGAAAATATTCCAAGGCGAACAGTACTGACCATCGCTCAAGCATGTTAAAATAATAACAAAAATTTGAGCAAACTTTACAGCACGTGATTTATTTTAAGAATACACGGTCTCAATTTTTTTTAAACACAGATTGACAAATGCTGCAATTAGGTCCAAGAAGCTGGCCCGTTAACGAAACCAGCAGTGTCCACCATCTAATTATGGACTTATTGGTGCTTTTGACCGGGTACAAGGTTTACGGTATAAATGCATACCACGTGAACTAAAAATGTTTGTATACGTGTTATTACGCGTTTGCCGTGTATGTTGTCAGTTCACACAGCAAACATTCTTTGCAATGGGACGTTTCGTCTACAAGGGATTATCCAAGTGAAATACTTTTGAAAGCTAATAACGCCGGGGGGGGGGGGGGGGTATGTCCTTACCTCCTGTGGCGAGAGTCACCGAATGCAGATCGTGTCCATAGTAAGGAAAGGCAAAAGATAAATTCACATTCTGCAATGAATATTACAAGGAATAAGTTCAGCCACAATTAAACATCAATGAACTGCACACGTTTGATTGTACTGAAAAACGCAATTAACTAACTCATGTATCCATAATTAAAGGTTCTTTGGGTTAGATTGTGTCAATATAAATGTGTTGTTAATCCACCACGGCCAATTAGTAAGGATTGGAGAGTACACCAACAGCATTTACAATTTGAGTACGACATTTCAATAGTGATTGCAACCAGCTGCATCAGGCGAAATGTTGCACTAAAATTGTAAATGTTGTGGGTTTACTCTTAACACACCTAGTAATGGAACGGCTCCTTTTGTTGACGTGATAAGTCTTACTAAATTGGCTGTATCAGGTGGTAGCGGATTAATGACACATTCATATTTACGCGATCTAATATGCATAATATTGGTCGTGAAAGCCTGCATGTTAAACCCATTAATGTAGCGGGGCATCATATTTGTGCCATTCCTTCAAAAATGAAAAACATCGATGGCTTGTCACCACAATCACCTGGAAGGCAACCGATTTCGTCAAATGTCAGAAGCCAGTTCGGAATCGTGGCACTACCATTGCGCAGCCGCCAAGCGGGTAGCTCCGAGCTGCTGCGGGGGGGGGGGGGGGGGGGCAACGCTTGGCGCAACAAACGGCGGTGGCGCACAAACACACTGTCGTGCCACCGTAGCGCCACCGTAGCAGCATGTACAGCTTTCACGCTTTCCCCCGCCTTCACCAGCGTGGTGAGGTATGGTCAAATAACCCCCCCCTGCCCCCCCGAAGCACGGCATGGGGGAAGCCAGTGGATTGACAGAAGGGCTGCACATGAACCTGAAAAACTGCCGTGTTTAATGAACTGTCAGAACAAGAACAAACTAAATAACTTGTTATTTGTTTCCGAAAAACTTTGGTTGAGGTGGTTCCACACGCCACAATATTTATTCGTGAATATAAAAAAAGAAAGATTCAATATTTGGACCAGAAGGACTCCAATGAAGGCATGAGGCCGCCTAAAGAATTTGAAACGTTTGTGCCTTATTAAAAGTTCTACTACATGCCATATGAGCACCATATCTTTCACAGCCACACATGCTCATGCAATGTTTTCATTAATAACCATACGTGAGGTCTAGTTTAGTTGTTTTCTTGTGCTGATGTCACGTTTTCATTTTTAGCCACAAACAACTTATATATATTTAAAAAGTGCGTTCCTTGCTATTGTTTTGAAACGAAATATTTAACATTTTAGATTTCATAAGAGTGCATATTCAAAAATCCAGTGTTACATGCATTGCTTAGAACTGAAAACAAAGCAAAGAATGTTCAAAGGGATCTTAAGGGATGCGAGCAAAAGAGCCAACCGGTTAACGAACATCTGCCAAAACCCACATTGTACACTGGATTTTAATATAGAACACTGAGACAATGGCTATTTATTACGGTACATTTATTTCGAATAAATTGACAAGTTGCTTTGGTCACCGTTTATTGCTCATGCAAAAAAAAGACCTCATCAACAGGATGAGAATCCTGGGCCTAATAATGACATAGAAGCTGCCCAGACAAACATTTGTTTAGTCACGTCCCATTCACATTATACACTTTAAAAAAATGTGGAATATGAACTCCCAAGCATGCAATAGTTCCAACCTTAAAAATAATGCAGCATCCGACAGTTATATTTGACTGGGTGGAAGCAGTAGTAGTGGTGGTAGTGGCCATCTCGATTACTGCCATGAGTCTGCAACAGCTTACCACAGCCTGCCTGTATCCTCCGGAGAGAGACTCGTGAGCTCGCACTCCACCTGGCGAACCGTCCACGGGGCCGTCCAGCCCCACCCACATCTCGCGGGCGCGCCGGTCGCCAGAGCCGTACAGGCGCGACACGTAGTACGTGTGCTGGTTGTCCTGCGGGCAGATGGCAGACGACGATTGTGGGCAATTCTCTAACCCGCACCAGGAACTAATGAACCCACCAGGGCACAAAAGCCTTTGAGGCCCGAGTCAACCCTCCGATTATCATGGTTGGCTACGTATGGTGCGAAAGAAGTTCAACATGCATACAACTCTGCTGTGCACACCTGCCCACGGGACGAGACAATCCACAGCTTTTACCAAACTCAAATTCTCGTGCACTCGCCACTGCTCTCCAAAGTACTCTATTTTTTGACCTACCTCTCTATGTGATGCATTTTAGGAGCCTTGCATTTTTTTTACGCGAGTTGTACCAAGTTTATGCACGACATTGCCATTCATAACTTGACGATGCAGTTGTGTTTGGGTTGATTTATTCGTATGCTTATTTTTTATGGCTGTAACCATGTTTGTATCATATAACCAGCTCCCTATCAAACATGAGCATTCCTTGCCCAATGGGGTTTACCACTGCAGCAAAAAACCTTAACCCTAATCACTAAAAACAATCCATGGCCCCCCAAACGTCACCGACTCATATTTTTTCAGGCATCGTTGACAAACATGTTAAGTTTTTTTTATCAGCGGCCTCAACTTAAATTCCATCCATTGACCTTTGGTGCACCTCAAAAGGAGAGATTTCATGCTCAAATTGGAGCAATGAGGCGGTGCGCTCATCTGCGTTTACAGCCCTGACTGAGCCAGTAGTGGAAATTCCACATTCCCATGGCATCCACTGTTACCTTGGCCACAAAGCAGGACTCATTTTATTGACCCCCCCAGGGAGGGATATTGGGATCTGAATGTGCGTGTCCATTTCGCTCCCGAGACACGACACCCACTCATCGCCACTCGCGTCCTTCGAGGTGAAAACCGCCGAGGGAGATGGCATTTCCATCCCTCTCGTCAGATTTTAGAACCGCTTTTGTTTTGGTCGGCCTTCCCCCGCACCTCCCGATGAGCAAAGTTGGCTATGGTACGGTGCAAAGAGCTCCAAAACTATGCATATGGTTGGCACAACATTTACAGCACACTCACGAGTGTGTACTGGTACTGTGCGTGCAGTCTTACAAAATGTGACCACTGCGGGCGACTCAAAAACGAAAAAAAAAAATCCAAATATGAACGATAAAGCTACTTTTTTGTCCAGTTCAGAGCATATTAACAAATTAAGAGTCCAGATGGTGCCCACACTCCACTACATGCTCAGCCAAGGCCGATTTCTTCACATCCCAGGCCAGTGTGGATTAGATTGCTCCCAGATACTCCGCTAGTTACAAAAAGTCAAGTAGTGGTCAAAGGGATTTCCTGCTCAAATGAGCACCGAGGCAGTACTCAATCTCCTGCTTCCGATGGCGAGTTTATCCAAAATAAACCACTGTTTAAGTTCCGCCCCCCACAAAGTGGTATCTATTTTATCGACCCCAAAATGGATGATGGGCCGAGTTAACCCCAAGTGGAATTTGACCTCGCAACCTTCAGAATGCGGACCCGCTCGCTTCACCGCTGAGCAACCCGACCCGGTTACAGCCCTTTGTCAATCCGCTGCTTGATGAAAACAGATGCCCTCACACAATTCCAGCCATTGGTGGATGATTGACCATACTTCGCTACGCTAGTCAATGTGGTTTGGTGAAGAGGTGTCGGGTGAGGGGGGGGGGTGTCGGTAGGGAGGGGCAGCCACCGGTTCAGATGTCACTCAGCATGGATGTTAGCTGTGGCTGGGAATCAAACTCAGGTGGCTGGGTGACAAACATTGCACCAACGGTGCCACCAATAAATGATAAAAAAAAATGTTCCATAGGTTTCAAGCATTTATTTTATTTTGCATTATTTAGTATCGTGCCTTTTATCATACAATCTCAAACTGCTTTAAATCAAGGACACGAACAATTGTCTTAAGTAATCCTGGAATTAAAATTTGTGACATTTGTGCGTCTCGTGTACATTTCAATATAACAACGCAAGTTGCAATTTTGCGACTACACAAAATCCTAATTGTGAAAAAGTGCACCACAAACCGCACCTCCGATTAGCACGGCTGGCTACGAATGGTGCTAGAGAACTTCAACGTATACAAACTTTTGACTCCATGGTTTGTGACGGAATATCAGAAGCTGTACTGTACTTCAAATTTCAGAACCAAGTAGAGATTGCATGGCACATTCATAATAATGATTTATCTCGCAATGCTTCTTGATTTTTTAAGGTTTTGTATGTTACCCAATAGCTACTGTTAAGTGACTATTCACATGACGATTTCAAAACTGCCGATAAGATTTGATGTATTTAAATTCTCATCAGGCCCCTGGTGTTGTGCATTTTTTAATCCCTACAAACTTAATCCTTCCGTCCTCTGTCTGTGCTATAAGGGCCATTGCCTGAAATGCCAGATAACTTTCTTTTATGGCTGCAGTGTTACTGACAAGTGGTGTTTTTACGTGAATATTTTAATAATCACCGTTTTATATAGTGTCATTCATGGAAACTCAATCTCAAAACGCTGTACAATCCACAACACACAAGGTGCACATTGAGATGTTCTCAGCAAATTCATTCGTCTCCAAACAAATTTAGCAGATAGATCGGGATGTCGTCCAAATAGAAAACAAATGAATGCTGAAAATCACTAATGCTCCGGTGTTTTAATAATACAAATCTGATAACTTTGAATGGAACTTAAGTAACTCATATCAGTCTAAAAAAAAGCCACCGATGCTGCCAAAAGTACAAGATGCTATCCAGACCTGTCCATTTGTGGCTGCATTAAACCCTATTTTTCTGCAGTCACCACAATATGCCCATCTAGACAAGTCAGAGTCCATCCACCAACTACAAATATGGGAAACAGCATGCTCCCAAAACATCCCCGTTTAAAAAAAAATGTGGTGAAAATACTTCTGTACCATGATAGGAAGATTTTATGAAATATCAAGTTTGCTTTCCAGACTAAACACAAAGGACCTACACTAGAGAAATGCAACGTTAAATACAGGAGAGCCACAATTAACTACACTAAAATGGGAAAAACGTTATTCTTTGGTTCTTTCGGTTAAGTCACGTCTAAAGATAAAATAATAAATTAAAATAAAAGCATATTACGACGTTTCGATTGCAACACAAGCAATCATCATCAGGCAAAAAAAGAAATAGCAACAAAAATCTAACTAGAAAACTATAGACAGACATACAGGCAGACAGACATCACAAGGACACACAGAGAGAGGACACATATCGGCACAAAGAGAGGGGTCGTTTCTGTGACGGTCCCTTAAATATAGAGAGGGGGGCAGGGACGGAGAGAGGGAGGGGGCAGAGAAAATTAGCATATCAATGAGTGGACGGTAAAGTGCTGCTGCTGCGCGAGTAAGATGACGACGTGGCACGGCACGCAATTTGTTCTCTCTGCCTGTGTCCTCTCTTTGGAAGTTTCACACTTAAATTCTAACTTAGCAATCTTTGAGATACGTAATCAACCAGGCTATGCGTTAATTGTGTGTTGACCGACTCTCTGTGTTGTATTACATCACATTTCGATATTTTGCGAGGTTATTTAATTTTAGTGTGCCTTTCTCCTAATTTACAAGCTTGCGTGCCTTGCCACGTCGTCATCTTACTCGCGCAGCAGCAGCACTTTACCGTCCACTCATTGATATGCTAATTTTCTCTGCCCCCTCCCTCTCTCCGTCCCTGCCCCCCTCTCTATATTTAAGGGACCGTCACAGAAACGACCCCTCTCTTTGTGCCAATATGTGTCCTCTCTCTGTGTGTCCTTGTGATGTCTGTCTGCCTGTATGTCTGTCTATAGTTTTCTAGTTAGATTTTTGTTGCTATTTCTTTTTTTGCCTGATGATGATTGCTTGTGTTGCAATCGAAACGTCGTAATATGCTTTTATTTTAATTTATTATTTTATCTTTAGACGTGACTTAACCGAAAGAACCAAAGAATAACTCCTGCAGTCACGAAAGCTCCATAATTAAGAGGGAAAAACGTTGTTTGCAAAATTTGGAGTTCGTCAAACATGAACAAAGCCTAACTTTAATAGAGCCAAATTAAACAAAACCAAAAAAAACACCGGTGCGTAGGAGGATGCCGAAGTGAGCGCGGAGAAGTTGCCCGCGTGAATTCTCCCGTGTTAAATTAAAGTCGCCAAGAGTCTACACAGGGTGCACCGTGCACGCATCGCCTTCCCCAACAGCACGCACAGTCATTTGTGAATCCACTGCTGAATAATAGCCACACGTCACCACACCGACCGGTGCGGTTTGGCGACAGCAGAGAGCAAGCACGTGGGAGCATAGACTTACAGTACAATGGGTTTCGTGCCAGTGCCCTCTGCCAACCACCGCACAAGCACCACAGCCACCTATGGCAACCGGTTTATGAATGGTAGTCGACCATTGAAACACTACGCAGGGCTCAATGTTAGCCATCAAGCTCCGATGAAAGCGAGCACATCCTGGGCGATTTGGTCAATAGTCAGCTGTATTAACAGTGAGCTAAAGTGCCATTAAGTAATAATATTAAGTACAACTCTGCAGATGAGGCTTTTGTGGTCTGGGAAACTAAATGTTGCCATATGAACATTGGTAGCGAGCGAGAAGGCACTGTATATAATACAGAATTGTCAAAGATAAAATAGATCCTTCATCATCTGTTCTTGGAAATGGACACACCAAGGGCTAAAGCCTAGATTCTATTAATTAGTAATGATTTTGTTTAAGTTAAGTCTTAATACGGCATATAATCCACAAAAAGTGGAATCAGAGGCACAACTTCAGTATGAAAAACAAATGACCCAAGCTCAATCAGTTTAATAGGAGCGATATCTGAACAAGTCCTGGGCACCCAGCTTTCATCAGCACACATTGACCCACGTGGTGAAGTATGGTCAATCCACCTCCAAGACCAACATGGCGTGGGGCAGCCGATGCCGGAGTTTGGACTTCTATATTTGGCGGGGGGGGGGGGGAGGGGGCGATTCCTAATGTGCCTCACATTCGGAATCACGGGTGCATATCATTTATTTAAGGACTGGATCATCGCAACCGCTGCCCTCGTGGAGGAAAGCAACACCCACCACGACTTCGTCCGTGGCACCGGAAGTCCACGTGGGGTCAGTTGGACTCGATTCCGGAGACTGGAAGGTAGAAAACCAGGAAGGCCAGTGTCGATTCCGCTCGGTGTGCTGGGACACGTCCAGGAATGTATCGTTCAAGCCCACATCTGAGCACAGGGCGCACACAAGATGTAAGACAAAATAAGAGAGCGACTGCCATCTGAAATATATCTGCAAATATCCCTTGCCCGAGGTCAATTAACCCTGATCACCCAACACTGAATAAATGAAAACGTTTAATTGTCATGGACAAAGGACGGAGATGCAGATGATTTTTGTTCCTTACCAGCTAATATTATTTATATTTTAAGTAAAATAATGCTTTGGAATCAGATGACTTACCTGCATCACATTACTTGGATAGAAGCAGTTTTGCGGAAAGGTAAATGACACACCATTCACAATGTGGACCACAACAATACAATTTACACTATTCATCCGAATGGTTTCCATTAACCAACATTGTGGTAATTTTTTGCTTTTCCATAGTTGACAGAGACATTCTGAGTGAAAAGAAATTGAGTATAAAAGGAGAAAATTACAATGAAAAACTAAAACAAATAAAAATTCCCACAACTTTAACTTACCACACCAATTTTACAACACGCTCACCGACGTTAAAACGTAAATGTGGTATTCAAATGTAACCAAATAAGACACCGAGCAGAAGGCAACGTCATCAGAAGGTTCGCAGTCTATTTTCTGAATAAGAGTCTCGAGAATGTATGTAGGTATGTTGAACTTCTTTCGCACCGTACAAATCCAACCGTGCTACATCGGAGGTGCGAATACATTCCAAATGACCAAATGTCATATCCAGCAAGTGGGAACGATTTGACGTTTGGGGAATGCAGCAATGGGGGCCCATGTCGAATGGCCAAAGGGGCCTAGGAAGGCTCTTGAGGGGACATCGTAACTCGGCTTGGGTACCCGTTCCAAAAACTTGGGGCTTGCCCCTGTATTCTAGTCATGGGATTTTTGTAAGTCGGACAAAACTACTCCTTATACGATGAAAAGAAAAATGCATTTTACAATCAAAATCAGAATATATATTTATACCGGAGGAACCCGATGAGCTATAAAGCTCTTTTTCACAGATGTCCAGTAGGGGCCGTTCAGAACGTTACAACATTTTTCTTAATACACACTTCCTAAACGCATTTTTATTCAAGTATATATCATATATAAATCTAGATATCCGTAGTCGATAAATAATGTTCACTCTTACAGCACGAGTCAAAAATCTAATTAAGAACCCGCAGTTCAGACTTGTAATTATTTTTACCAAACCACAGGTAAATCCAGGTTATTCACAAATTATTCCTCAAAATCGCTTCAAATTACCACTCGCCAACAAGGAGTAGCAATTCTTCTATTTTCATGAGGAGCAATCGGACAAAGACGGTCACCGTGGCGCGCGCTTTCAGATGCACTTTTGCGGCCGTCTGGAATGCTCTTCCTTCCGATATTAGAGAGCCGCTGGAGCAATGCACTTTTAAATTTAGGGTTGAAAACTAATTTATTTAGAACCGCTTTATACGTTTAATTTGTTGTCCTTCCCCAGCACCTCCGATGACCACGATCGGCTATGTAACACGCGAAATAAGTTCAACATACAAACAATTTCAATACCACACTGACGATGTCACGGAGCGCGACGGTGAAGTCGCTGCATGCATACAGGCGAGTTACTATCCGAGGAGGGAGCTGCAGCGGTTGACATTTCTGACGGCCACGTGTGTGTTAGTACAGGAGCAGGGAGGATTTTAAAGATGCAGTGTGGCTCCGAAACATTTCCATTCCTTCCCTTTCGACGACAAGTTCAACGCGCATAACATTACAAGCTGACCAGATACTACCATGGGTTCACCGAGACGCTTGGCAAAATGCACCAAACCCCTGCTCCCCAACTTTACCAGATCTTTCTGGCACAGGCTACAAAGTCCCCAACGATTCGTTTCAGCCGCAACTGTCCGCAAAGTTGTTTCTGCCAATGACTTTGGTACGCCACATCCATCTCACGAATTGCCTTGCAACAAACCTGTTCATGCGATTATAGGGGTAATAGGGTACAATAATATAGATCACGGATAGGCCTATCTTTTTCGCTCTCGTGGTGGTGCCTTACAATCATTATTACGGTAAGCCGGTCTGGCAGTGTCCCGGAATGTATCGAGGGAGACATTAAGCCATTTACAACCACCACCATCACCAACTTCTACTACAACCATCATCCATTGTCATCGTCAAATTGCCTGGCCCAGGTCCCCGCAGCCCTCGGCTTACCTGTGCACACAGTCGCCCCAACCCCGAAAACTGCTTTTGGGGTTGGGTGTTGTTGTCCTTCCCCCGCACATCCGATCAGCACGGTTGGCTACGTGCGGTGCGAAAGAAGTTCAACATACAGGGTGTGGTCCAAATGTCTTGTGACCCCCCCCCCGCCCCCATTTAATTCTCTAAAACGTAATGGGGTTGTATACTAATGGGTGTGAAAATAGAAATGCATGATCAAAATAAAAAAAATGTTAGAGGGTCAATTAAACGCCGCTGTATATACATCCCGAATAAACCAAGGCAGATGCCCCAGTCAGCCGAGGTCCATCAACGTAGTGAAGTAAAACCGCGATTATAAAGTCCAAGATCTCGCTGCAAATTATTTCCACACGAACACGGGACAGCAGATCTGCCGATGCCTAGTTAACGGCACGTCTTAAACATTTTATATATAAACAAAAAATCTATAAATCTTAACCCACGTTATTTTAAGTGAAAAAACCGGAGCCTTTATCCGTCCCGATGTACCCAAAACGCTCGATGTCACGGCGCGGCAGGAACAAGCGTGGCCAGCCAGCCAGCCAACAACCCTCTCCTCACCTGCGCCGCCAGATGCGGAGCACGAAGCCAGCAGCAGCAGCAGCAGCCATGCCCAGCGCAGCAGTGGCAGGGCGGCGGTGGTGGTGGTGGGAAGCAGATGCAGGGAACTCATGACCGCGATGCTGCTGCTGCTGCCAATGCGTCCTCCTCGCACACTGCAGCAGCCTTTTAAACGCTCGGTGGTGGTGGGGGGGGCCGTGGGGCGTGAGCCGGTTTTGCAACTCGTCAAAAGCCAACACGGACCAGAGATTTGTGGCGTCCGTGTGCTCAGCTCTGGGGTTCGCTCCGAAACGTCCTCTTTGCCCGTCGTTAAACACGAGGGCTACGTTGAGTTTGCCCGGGCGAATGTGAATCAAAACACAACCGCGGACTGTGTCGCCTCACGTGAATTATATTTGAGTCTCTGAAGGATATTGTATTATTGGCTTTCCAGACCCCCTCCCCTGCCGCCCAAGCAAGCAACACTCTGAACCGGTTTCAAATTTGTCCTGGGTCCTCATAAGCAGCCAAGCATGTTAAACAAATGCGGCTGGATGAACCAGATGCTGTTGCCAAGAGGAGCCCACATGTGAACTGTGGAACCCCGTCTAATGTAAAAAAGCAATAACCCGTACACACACTCTCATGCACTGGGGGAAACTTTATACCCCGTAAATAATACATGTTTAAGCAATAGCCGAACAACCAACTGGCTTTCCAGACCAATACCGTATTATCCAGCAAAATGAAATACGTTTAGAAGCACATTTTTGGAAAGGTTTCGACCTAAAAGCGAGAAGTCGCCACACGAACCTCCCGAAGTGACTACAAGTCGCAAGGCGGTCCTACAGTCGGAAATGTCGCCACTGGACAATTTACCTTGAGTCATAACATCGTGAACTGATACAGGATCCTTAACACACACCATGCATCATGTCACTAGCCAGTTTGCCAGGTATTGGTGAACTTGTACAGGATCCTCAATACACGTACGCACCCTGAATGGATCCTAAAATTAGCATCTTGTCAGAATCAGAATATGTATTTATGCTAGAAGAATTCGATGAACTATCAAGGTATTTTTTGTACAGATGTCCTCGTCCTATAAACGTCGCTACATATCAGTTCAACACGTAGGCTTTCGCGACCAATATTATGAATAATAAAGGTTTTGGGTTAGATCGCGTAAGTATAAATGTGTTGTAACTCTCCACCACCCAACACAGCCAGTAAGATTTGTCACGTGAACAAAACGCGCCAATTAGTTACTGCTTCAGCCCACCGGTGTGTTGGAGAGTAAAAATTGAAAATGTTGTGGCGGTTTTGCAACAAATTAATGTGGTTTCATAAACTTCAATACTGTGATACAGTATATGACTAAATCTAAACTAAACATGGCAAGATTATTTTACCATGTTTCTCCACAATAAACCTCTTTGAGTAAAAAACCTTGGCTCTGGAACGTAGGAAAATACAGTATAAGCTCAGTAAAAACCATATATGCACTCTGTGAACAGTGATGTCTAGTCTTGTAATGATTAGAGGGAACGAAATTCTAATTCCATTCCATGTTCATCAAGCTGCTCATGAGTTTGATAAAAAGTAAAATCATCCTCGTGCCATCCCATCCCATTTTCTTCTTCCGTACGTCTGATGTAGATGCAGATACAATTTCACATTCAGGCGGTCAAGCCAAGTAACCGCGTCAGGAGTAGCGGACTGTATCATCGTCGTGATGTCTCCTTCGTATTTGTGGATCGGGCATTGCATCGTTACGTGTTGTACGGTCTGTTCTGGATGACCTGGATGACCACACTCGCACACCGGAGAGTTTTTAATTTTCCATTTGAGCATCAGGTATCCGCATCTACTGCCATAGTTTGTGGATGTGGTTTAGGGTGGGCCATGAGCTTCGTGGAAGATCAAACCCAGGCATCTTCTGCCATGCGTCTTTCACAACTCGGTGTTTGTCAGCAATTTTGAACCCGCTCAGCTCCCATCCCATGAGATTCTCAGAGCAAAGATAATTTAATACGGGAACTTACACAGCACCTAACGTGTTAAGCAAAACGGTTACTACGATGCAAATGAAACAATGAAGGGACTGCTATAAAATTGATGTACAAGCACAATTCAAACCCTCACACCACTTGATATTAACACTGCCTTTGTAAAACAATTTATACGACAGGCTGACGTTTAAGACAATGGCCCTTCTTCAAGGAGTAGGGAGATGGGCTGACTTAAAGTTGGAGACCACATAGTAGACTGTGGGGAACCTGAGAAAACTGGGATATTCGACAGTTGATTAACAGTATTGAATTGACATATGAACATATTTATCTTAACATTTAATTAGGTATTTAACTCAAATACAATTTCGCATATTTGCCTTTGATTGGTTTGGGTTGATAGGCACTCATTATTAATGGACAGCTGTTCACTTACCAACTTTTTTTTTCAAGTTCCCACTTTTCTCAGGTCCGGTGTGTAATCTGCAATCTCCAACCTTCACGTCAGCCCATGTCCCAACCCTCGCTCTCTCCACCCTGAAGAGACATTTCTTGAGACACTACGCTGTCAAATATTTTCTGCTATAAGCTAGTGTTAATATTTTTTGTTGCGAACTTTACCATGCCGTCTGAAATTAGAAAAATTCTCATCATAACTTACTTTCTCCATTCTCAATGGGTATGATTCTTTTCACTCTTCCTGCTGGCCAAATTCCCATCCTATCTAATCCCAAAATTATTTATCCTATTCCCATCCGTTGCTATGTGATGTCCTAGTAAACATGATACGTTGAGCCAACATTGATCCAACCACATAACAGCGTCGACCCAACGTTCCATGTTTACTGGGGTCCCTTTCCCTACGAGTTCCCGTTTAGTTAAGTTCATTCCCTTCGAGTCTACGGAATCCCATTATATCGCTCTCAAGAATAATTACATACACTCCTGTGCCTGTTATACATGCATCAAATAAGATTCATGTTACTGTTCCATTCACGAAGTGTATTTAATTTTATTTAGCCTCGTATCCGAATGAGACAGTACAAGAGAGAATGAGATAGCACAAACAAGACATAGTGTGGAACTGACTGAGACAGCATGAAACAGTTTAGGGGTGCCAAGGTGGGGAGATGTTAACTACCTCGCCTGACATACAGGAGATCGTAGGGTTCGATCCTGACCCTGAATATTTGGATTCTGTATGTTCTCCCCGTGTTCACGTGGATTTTTCTCCGGGAGCTCCAGTGTTTCCCTACATATTTACAAAACATACGTTTGGAGTATTTGACTACTATAATTTGCCACATTATAAGCCACTTCGTTGAGCTATCATTTGTGGCCAGGTCGCTTCTGAAAAAATGATAGCTGAGTGGGCCTTACCTGGTAAAATAAAAACATTGTTAATTTCGTTTCAGGCGACAGCATTAAACATCGGACATCATTAAACATGACAACATTAAACACAGGGGCACATTATTAAACAATGCAGACGAGCCGATATTGATGAGACAATTGATGCAAACAATACCGACAATTTCCAGTAGACAACAACAAAAAGGAGGCAGAGAGGAATTGATGTTTGAGTGGAAACTTGAGCCACGTTGAAAGGCTCCCTTGGATGTGCGGCCTCGCTCCGCTTTGTCGCCACCTGCTGGTAACGGTGAACATAATAAGACAAAGATCCCCCGCGTAGCCTGTAACAGATTGTTGGGGCAAGTGCTGTTTGCGAGCAACTATGAACCAAGGGGGTGGGTGACCAACACCACGCCCGGCCGCCTTTGTCTCCCCGGTGGTTATGTTTGCATACCGTGCCGGGTACTCATTTGAAGCTGCGTCGACCTACGGGAGGCTCAGGACCTGTTCGGATAATCGTCACTTGGTGTTGGCCGTGAGCGGGAATCGAACTCGGGTGGCCACTGCTCTCAACACGCACACCAACCTGGTCCAGGACACACTTGCACCGTGAACGCTCTAAACTCCAGACCAAATAATGCAGTAATAATGAATGCAGTAATAACATTCAATGAACCATAAGTTCATACTCTTTGGTTCCTTACCGAAAGAACCAAAGAGCATGGATCCCTGCAGTCACGAAAACTTCAAATATAGATTGAACCATAAGTTGACTGTTGATACTTGTTTTTATCATTTACAAATTCATTTACAGTAAAAAGAAAAATCACTAATCTACAGTTAAATCTGAGTGATAAAGCGTCACTCTATGAAGCAGAGAGGTTTAAAGGTCAGGGTCACTCGGTGGGGAAGCCAGATTTTATGATGGGGCGTGAAAAAGTTATTTTCGTGTTATCTATTAAACAAATGAAATGTTAAATTACCATAGAGCGCACGAGCAGGTCATGCCATTAACCAAGGCATTCAGGGGCATAGATGGGTTCACCAACTTCCATACAGAATTGCGAGTTCACGAATGCACGTCAATTGCATTTATTTTACACTGGTCAGCTTCGAGAGGTTTACAGTACAGGGACTCCTTTCCTTACTAACATTCGACTTATGAACTTTCCGAGATCCGAACAAACCTGTCCGTATGTCCAGTTGCTTGTTCGGACCGAGAGTCGAAAGCTCAACCGCCGCGCAATAGATGGCAGTGGTGGCATCTACATCTGCAGAACATGAAGAGCAAAGTGACATCTACAGGAGATTATACAACTTTTAAAGCCATTCTCTGTGTTTAGTGTACATGCCGTACATTTTGAATCGACAGGAGTAAAGTTGGACTTACGGACAAATCGACTTCCGAACAGACCTCTGGAACCGATCTCGTTCGTAAGTAGATGAGTCCCTGTACAGTAGTATTATTATTATTGGACCATGAGCCAATATCAGATATTCCACTTGCCAGTGACATCAGGGTTGGCATAACTTTAGTGGTTTCAATGTATTTGTGGTCAATAACAGTGAATTATATAACCATTTGGAAGTAATCTTCAGGTGAGAAAGACCGCCTCAGCTGTACTTAATTCGGCCCACTTGGTTTCATTAATCAAGGACATATCACTGTCCCCGGATAATTTACTTGTCAGTTTTGATGTCGTCTCCCTCTTCACCACGGTACCTGTACCTGATACTATTGCAATCATTGAAGACCTAGTCCAACAGG